CAGACGCCCTCTATTTTGCAGGGATCATGACATGGCATAAGAACGATTTATCGGACCCTGATCCCTGATTTCTGCACAACAACCCTCAAGAAAGTCCTGTAGGTTCGCGAAAGCTTTGCTGGTTTTGCAGGTTTGAGACCTCCCCCCCCCTATACAAAAAATCAGATCAGTAAGTGAAGGTCTTCGAATAATCGTTACCGTAATTCGAGCCACGAAAATCATCATAGAGAATCAAAAAGTCCATAAATGAATGAAAAAGTAAATATCAATAGTAATAACAATAAACAAATAATAATATATAATAATTTAATTATAATAGGTAATAATATAATCATAATAATAATGAATGTAAATAATAATAAATAAATATAATAAAATAAAGCTTGCTGAGGAACAAAGTTCACCACTGACCTTTCGTAAGTGTTGTTAGTTGATTATTCTGCATTGCTAAGACGTTGAGATGTTGAACCGGAGAGAATGCTCGCTGTGAGATCTGCAAAAATTGAGGTGAAATTTTCTGAATCGGGCAGATCCTACCTCACCCCTTATTCCCGACCTCCCCCACCTCTTCCCAAAACAGAAAATATCCAAAAATGAATTCAAGGAATTGTTAAAATTGACCCAAAAGAACGAAAAACCCAATCTGGGAAAGATTCTGGGAGTCCCACATTCAATGCTGTGGCATCAGAAAATCCTATAGCAGGACGAAAGAGGGCTAAGACGGCAAAAGGGTTAGAACGCACCATGCAATCCCGTTCTTTTTAGCATCGCGTAGGCAGATGGACATGGCAGTCTTTGCCTATCTCACTACCCTAGAGCTCCCTTCCCAAGCATGTTCGGGGGGAGGGGGAATTCTACGCTTCGACAGCTGAGGACCTGTTAACTCCGCATATGCCAAGGAGGATCCACCTCGCACGAGACCACACGTTTTATCTTCAGGTAATAAACTTCAGGTAACCCCTATAACATACTTACCCGACTGATGTTATTAGCAGCAATAGTGAGACTTTCAAGTCGAGTGCTCCTAGCCAGCCCTGATAGATCGCCGTCAGCGATTTCCGAGATAGAGTTACGGTCCAGTGATAAAAGTATCAGCGATGGGAGGTCTCTGGAATGGACAACTTTACTATTCAGCAGAAAAAAAACTGCTGCGGCTCACTTACCGTAGACTGACTCTTTTCAGCGAATTGATGCTGTTGTTGTTAAGGAAGAGTCTCTGGAGGTTTTCCAAACCGCGGAGTTCGACCTGAAACAGGAGCCTTATAGGCGCCGCTTGCGGTAGGACGCGTAAATAGTAGTGTTGGAAAATCGACGCCCAATTGTAAAGAGACTCTCCAGTGAATAGAAAATGCAAAAGGAAACGCTGGAAACGTCTCTAATATGTAA